CAGAAGTGGTTCTTGGGTCATGAGCCGGGTTTGGGATGACGGCTATCCTTGGGACATGGTGTACGTGACCCGTTTTGCAACCTTCCTCCGGAATGCCCTTCCTTCATTTGTCTCCGACTGGTTATATGTCAAGAAGATGAACACATGGTTTAAGCATGAGAATTATGGCCTGATGCCTTTAAATGGGTACTACAAGTAACTCCTATTTTATCATCCCAAAAAAGTGGGGCACTAGTTCCAGTTGAAATTTTTCTCTCTAGGTCTAACTTAAGTCATCTCACAAAGGTCATTGGGATTAAAGTGAGGACTGCATAAGTGACACGGTATACTCAGAAGTCATGCATGGGGTGAAAATCTTACTGAAATGACTCTAGTGGTGAAAGGTATATGGGAAAATACAAAATGGCAAAGGAGCAGGCAGCTGGATGCCTCTGACATGCAAGATTCATTTATGGTAGCTACAAGCTATAGCACAGAATCTTGAGGGCTGAGCCAATTCATGAATTGTCTTTTGAGGAATCCTTATCCATGCTACAGGCGATGGAGATAGCAATAATAATATCTACTCATCAAGACTACTGTGTATGCAGGAAGAGTAACAAAAAAAAAATTAAGGCATTTTGGGAACTATCAAGCTTTACAAATACTGGTTCTTATTAATCTCAAATTTTCCAGTATGCATCTAAAGAGCAACGAACCAGGTAGTGTTAATCGACATGTCTCAGAAAGCAGAAAATCTCACAATTAAAGTGCACTCCTCCTCAACCACACAGTCTAGGATTTTAGCGGGACAGTCAGGACCCATGAAACATGTAAAACACTGACAATTCACAAAACTGATATACACTGTAAAATTAATATTTGTTTATATACTTAGAGCAGAGACCAACACCTACTAATTAGAAAGACATTCTCAGGGCACCTGGTGGCTCAGTTGGTAGAGCATCTGACTCTTGATTTCAGCTCAGGTCATGGTCTCAGGGTCCTCGGATCCTGCCCAGTGCAAAGTCTGCTTCTCCTTCTCCCACGCCCCCTGCTTGTGTTCCCTCTCTCGCTGTATCTCTCTCTGTTAAATAAATAAATAAAATCTTGGGTGGGGGAAAAGACCTTTTGTCTTGTAAGAGTTACTGCAAATCATATTCTGGCTTTGCCCTTTAGACAACTGAAATGTAGATTTGGAAATCCATTCATTCCGAGAATGAGGCTCCATCTTAGAAAACGTTCCAGTTATCCGGAGGTATTGACGACACCTTCTCACTCCTCTCTTGGGTAGGGGACAAGGGGAGAAAAACAGGCTTTACTGTGACCTGCTTTTTGTCACCTGATAAAGCAAAAGAAGAGGTTGCAGAATTATAGACATAGAGAATGGTGTGGAAATGCATAGACAGATTCTACAATTTATAAACTTTCTGACTGTTTGAGATATTTGGAGTGAATTCCAAAATGCCTGAATCCTAGAATTTTGGCAACCAAAGTAAAGGAAACCAAATATGGCAATAAAGCAGCTCGCTAAGCAAATTGGATTTTCTCACAGAAGACCTCATTTAGAATAATGGTTCATTTATAATAGTGATGCTTGCAAGTGGCAGGCACTGTTTTAAGTGCTTTACAGGTCATGTTCATTTAATTCTCACAACAACAGAATGAGGTATATTCCATCACTACTGCATTTTACACACAAGGAAACAAATACAGAGAAGTAGCCACTCATGAGAGACAGAGGTAGATTATAAACCTGGGCCACTTGGTTCCAAATTCTGCACTCGGAATTAGTGCAGAATTTGGAATTATGTCTAGGAATTAGTTTTATTCTCATCTGTTTGGTGAACCGCCAAATCGTGTAAGAGCCCATAAGGAAGTCTTCGAGCTTTGAAGAGCCAAAAGAGGCAGCTCAGACAGACATTCTTTTTTTTTTTTTTTAAGATTTTATTAATTTGACAGAGAGTGAGAGAGAGCACGAGCAGGGAGAGGGGCAAGGGGAGAAGCGGACTCCCCACTGAGCAGGAGCCTGATGAAGGGCTTGATCCCACAACCTCAGGATCATGACCTGAGCGGAAAGCAGACACTTAACTGACTGAGCCACCCAAGTGCTCCTCAAACAGAATTTCTTAAGGACTGTTGCAGGCAATAGAAGAAAACCTGCCACAAAAGAAGAGCTCAGTGGTCCCCATGCTAATGTTTCTCTCCTTAGCTTTGGTTCTACTGCTCTGAACTACTGCAGATATTTCCTGGAACCAAAATATGTTACAGCAAGAGCCTTTGTCTCTTGTTTCTGAACAGTCCCCTGAGGAAAGAGCCTGTGTTCAATGACGAGCTCCCATCCCGCATCCTGTGTGGTACCGTATCCATCAAGCCCAGCGTGAAGGAGTTTACAGAGACCTCAGCTGTGTTTGAGGATGGGACAGTGTTTGAGGCCATCGACTACATCATCTTCGCAACAGGCTATGATTACGCCTACCCCTTCCTTGATGACTCCATCATCAAAAGCAGAAACAATGAGGTCACCTTGTTTAAAGGCATCTTCCCCCCAAAAATGGAGAAGCCTACCTTGGCTGTGATTGGCCTTGTCCAGTCCCTTGGGGCTGCCATCCCCACGGCTGACCTGCAGGCTCGCTGGGCGGCTAAAGTGTTTGCAAGTAGGTGGACCATTCTGTCTTTTATCCATTTAGTCAGTGAACATTTATTGAGCACCTACTATATGCCAAGTACTGTGCTAGATGCTAGGAATATAAAAGGAACTAGACATACTCCTTGATCTTACACAGTCTAAAAGAGAGCCAGGGGAATGTTACAATAGGGGAAGTCTTAAGGTGTTCTGTAAGGACATATAAAACAGAGGCAGGGAGTAGCAAGAAACAGAGAAAGGGACTAGACCATGGAGGGCCTTAGGAGCTGTGTTACAGAGCTTAGACTTCTCGTAGGGAAATTGGAGGGACTATGCAAAGATTTTTTATTTTTTTAAGATTTTATTTATTTATTTGACAGAGAGAGAGATCACAAGTAGGCAGAGAGGCAGGCAGAGAGAGAGGGGGAAGCAGGCTCTCTGCTGGGCAAAGAGCCCAACACAGGATTCCATCCCAGGACCCTGAGATCATGACCTGAGCTGAAGGCAGAGGCTTAACCCACTGAGCCACCCAGGTGCCATGTACTTTGCAAAGCTTTAAGCAAGAGAAAGACAGCGGTAGGTAGCAGCAATGTCAAGATACACTGTAAAGGTGAGAGGGGCCCTGAGGATGTCGTGGGCAATGCTAGAGATCTTCCCAGGGCCAAACTGTCAGAACAGCAAAGTCAGGCCACGCCTACTCTGTTGACCATCCTCTCCTGCACCCTCCACTCTAGACCCCACGGTCTCCAGTGGCCACAAGTGAGCTTTTGTGAGGAAATCAAGAATATGAGGATTACATGAAGAAAAGCAATGTCTCAAATATACTGATTTAATTTACAGCAATCATACTGATCATCCTTATTACCTAAAGCGCCTTTTTATTCAAGGGCTCAAAAGACTGGGCCAATCTAGATACAATTCTCCTAACATATTGTCCATAGAAACTTAGACCATAGGTAATGAAGAAAATGTTACAATCATAGACTCAATGTTTTCTGAAAATGTCATGGATAAGTAAGCAATGTCAAGTGTACCACAAAGAATCATTATTTTAAAAACCCTGCCATGAAATCATTTATAAGGGTGCTTTCTGTAAAATACTTCCACTATGTTTTTCTCTTAAAGGCACAACAATGCCAAGCACCTGGAATTTTACAAAAAAAGTTGGCTACAGTTCATAAACCCAAGGAATTTACATGAAGCAAAATAAAGCATTTATTCCTTCATCGCATACTTACTGAGCACTACTATGTGCCACACTCTGTCTTGGCACTTGGGACACAACATTGAACAGCTCAGACAAGAATTTTAGCAAACATCTGACTGCAAGGTCTGGCAGGCTGTGTAGGATCCTGCCCATGACGAGGAAGTGTTCTGCACCACGAATGTCACAATAGCTTTCTGCCACTGTTATAGGGCAAAAGAGCTACTCTCAGCCATCAGATGCCCCCTCCACTGATCAACTGTAGCAAAACACTAACAGTTTTCTGAAGACCCTTAAGATCCCCTCTGGCTGCAGGCTGATGGAAAACCCATGCCTCCTTCCATGGGTCCGTTTCCATTGCCATGTACCTTAGAGTGAACTATTTTACCAGATTATTTCTTGGAAGAATTTTTGATAAGAGGATGCAAATAAGAAATACAAAGGAACTGTTAAGCTATTACATGCATGGGGTGTATCTCAGGCATGCTAAGGATTGGGCCTCGCACGACGTCACAGGTAGATGAGACCGGGTGATTTGGAGCCACAAACTTCTCTGCTGTCACTATCTCACTGCAGGCCAGCTTTGCCATTCACAGAGGGGGTTCACTGCCTTCTCAAGACTTTATTTCTATAAGTTGTTATTCTACTAAAGATACCCACGGCAGCTCCTCTTGATACAAAATCACTTAGGGACATAATTCATAAATACCAAGAAAAATTCATCATGTCATTATATAGTTCTGACTTTTTTCATCTTTTTCAATATTTCTTTGTTTCTTTTCTAGAATCATGTACCTTGCCAACTACAAGTGAAATGATGGATGACATTGATGAGAAAATGGGGAAAAAACTCAAGTGGTAAGATTGTACTTGCTAATGAAACAAATCCTAAGTTTTTCCTTTATATGTAGGAAAACATTTATGTATTTTATAATATTTTGACTAGTCCGAGTTCACACTTTTGAAACACTTGCTATGATCAAGCAATATTTGATAGGAAAATAACAATCATTACACATCACACAAGTGTATAGAGTACACTACACTCTGGGGTAGTTCCTCAAATGAGGGTGATTTTGATCCCCAGGGGACATTTGGCAAAGTCCAGAGACATCTTTGGTTGATGCAAGTATAGAGGGCATACGATTGGCATCTAATGTGTAGAAACTAGGATACTGCTGAACATCCTACCTTGCAGAAGACAGGCCACCTAAACAAAGAATTATCCAGCTCGCGTGTCTCCAAGAAGTCCTTTCCACCAGCCACATGTCCGCCAGCAAGTTAACTAGCCGGGAACTGAGCACTGTAATAAGGAAGCCAAATGAAGAACTAAACTGAGTTCACCTTCCCTGCTATTTTCTTCTAAAAGAATATTCATTCCTGAGTCATCGAAACATGGGTTCTTAAGTACACCATAAACGGGGTTCGTAGAAAGTCATTTACATGGCACACATCAGATACTTACATGTAATTTTTTATGTTAATTAGTTCTATAGAAGTAAATCCTGTTCAAATTACGTATTAAAATCTGTTGAAAGAATAAATAGATCATGAATCCCCTTCAGGTGAAGAGATGGCTGTAAAGAAGTTTCTCTGCCCTTGCAAGCTCAGATGCCTCATTCACTGAGAGCCGCTGAATAGTTGCGAGGGAAGGGTCTAGAGCAGAGAAGACCTGGAGACTTCCAAGCCCACAAAACCTCCCCGTACCTCACTCAGTTCACAGGACAGCTCTGTGGCGTGGGCACTCCTGTGTGCTAGCAAGTCACACAGCCCACTCCACTCACCACCCTTCGTATCATGGCCAATAGGAATATGGAGGCGGAAGAGGAGAGGCCTCAAAATCAACCTCACTTCTTAAAAGGTAGCCTGTTCCTCAGGGCTCGTGAAAGGAAATGAGGCCAGGCCCCCAAAATCGAACATCGGATCTAAGCAATGTTATATAAAGAATAACCATGTGTTAAAGGGTGAAACTAAGTTAATCAGTTATCTGGACACATGAAGGGCAGTTCCCTCCAGGCCTGAGGCAGAAGACCAAAATAACATCAAACTTAGATCAAGATTAGGAAGGAAAAGAAAAAAAAAATCAACTCATTTATAGCCAAAGAATGGTAAACTCAATGCTGTGGAGAAATAGGAGTGGGATAATTTGGGAGGCACTGACTAAAATGCTACTTTTCTAAGGTAGAAAATAAGAAATCAGTGCCTGGTTTACAGCTGTGACACTCATTGCTATGTGTTATTTTCTTTCCTCAGGTTCGGCCAGAGCCAGACTTTGCAGACAGATTACATCACATACATGGACGAGCTGGGCTCCTTCATAGGGGCCAAGCCCAACATACCGTGGCTCTTCCTGACTGATCCCCAGCTGGCCCTGGAGGTGTTCTTTGGTCCTTGTAGCCCATACCAGTTTCGACTGATGGGACCAGGGAAGTGGGATGGGGCCAGAAATGCCATCCTGACCCAGTGGGACAGGACAGTAAAGCCAACCAGGACAAGAGCTGTCCGTGAAGCTCAGAGACCCCAACACTTTCACAATTTGCTCAAAATGCTTTCATTCCCAGTGCTTTTGCTGGCTGTTTGGCTTACATTTTATTAATGAGAAAGCCCTTTACGTCTCAGAGTTTAGCCTAGAAGTTTAATCACAGATATCTATGTAGTTTAATTCCAGATATATACACATGTGCATACATAAAATCTCATAGCCACTTCCTCCCCTCCTGCAGATACAAAAATGAATTCTGGCCCATTTAACTGAAAGTCTCAATAAAATGGAAGATACTCAGCCTCTCCCTTTCTGATGAGAATCTATACTCTAGAAAGGGTTTTCACACGATGCATTGGCAAGTTTGGAGATGCCTGAGATAAGGAAGAAGGAAGGTGAAGGGGAGTGAGCACAGATGTGAAAGATGAACAAACTTCAGTAAATTATTTAAGGGTGTTTTATCATGAATCATGATTTCAATTTTATCATGAATTCAATCAGAAATGACATCACAACAATAATGAATCTTCCAACCCGTGACACAGTGTATCTCTTCATCTACTTAGATCTTTAATTGCTCTCAGCAGTGTTTGCAGCTTTCTGTGTATAGTTCTTACCCATCATATGTCAGATTTATCCTAACTATGTGATATTTTTGGATGTTATTAAAAATAGTAGTTAAACATTGTTTACAGCTTATATTTAGAAATGCAATCATTTGTTCTAGTAACTTTTTTATAGATTCCATAATACTTTCTACATAAATAATCAATTTGCCTAAAAATAAGATAGCTTTACTTCTCCAGTTTCGATTTGGATGTCTTTTATCTCTTTCGCTAGCCTTATTTCTTTGAAACTCCAATATAATGTTGAATAGAAGTGGTGAGATCAGACATCCTTGCCTTGTTCCTGATCTTAGGAATAAAGCATTGAGTCTTTTACCAGTCAGAGTGATGTTAACTATAGATATTTCAGAAATACCCTTTATTAAGTTGAGGAAGTTTTCTTCTATTCCTAGTTAGCTAATAGTTCTGATCAGGAATGGAGGATGGTTTTTGTCAGATACTTTTTTTTGCATCTATTGAGATGATTGTATGGTTTTAGTTAAAATATGGTGAATTACATGGACTCTTAACCCAATCTTGCATTGCTGAAAAAAATGCCACTTGTTCGTGGTATATTGCCCATTTTACACACTGTAGGATTACATTTGTTAATATTTGTTAAGGATTTTTGCATGTATGTTTATAATAAATATTGATCTGTATTTTATTTTTTGTAATATTTTGGTTTGGCCTTGGTATCAGTGTAAGAGTGGTCCCACAGAATAAGTCAGAGAGTAATCTGTCCTCTTAAATTTTCTGGAAAAGTTTATCTATAATTGGCATTATTATTTTTCTAAATGTTTCCTAGAATTCACCAGTGAAACCATCCTGGTCTGAAGTTCTTTGTGGAAAAGTTTTTAAACTATAAATTCAAGTGTTTTTGTTTGTTTGTTTGTTTGTTTGTTTTAGTGAGAGGACACAAGCAGGGGGCAGAAGAGGGAGAGGAAGAAGCAGAAGAGAGGGAGAAGTAGGCTCCCTGCCTAGCAGGGAGCCCAATGCAGGGCTCGATCCCAGGATCCCAGGATCATGACCTGAGCCAAAGGCAGATGTCTAACAAGTTCTTTAATAGATATAGGACTACTCAGGTTATGTGTTTCTTCTTTTTTTTTTAAGATTTTATTTATTTATTTGACAGACAGAGATCACAAGCAGGCAGAGAGGCAGGCAGAGAGAGAGAGAGGAAGCAGGCCCCATGCTGAGCAGAGAGCCTGATGTGGGACTTGATCCCAGGACCCCGAGATCATGACCCAAGCCAAAGGCAGAGGTTTTAACCCACTGAGCCATCCAGGCGCCCATGTGTTTCTTCTTGAGAGAGTTTTGGCAGTATGTGTTTTTTAAGCAGTTCATTCACTAAGGGAACTCAGTGGAGATATGACAGTCTTTTCAACAAATAATACTAAAGCAACTGGATATTTATGTGACATGAAGAGAATTCAATTAATGCTTTGCACCATATATAAAAATTAACTCAAAATGGATCTTAGAACTAAATGTAAATCTTAAAAGTATAAAACTTCTAGAAGAGAACATTAAAAAAAGTCTTTCAATTAGGGAAAGATGTCTTAGTTATATCAAATGCACAATCCATGAAAAAAAAATTTATAAACTAGGGTTTATCAAAATTAAGAAATTCCACTGTTGAAAAGACAATGTTAAGAGAATAAAAGACAGATTACAGATGGGGAGAAAACATCTGCAAATAATATATCTCACACAAGATATGTATTTATAAACCCAGAAAAAATAAAAATACATAGCTATACAAAAACTGGTTTTTATATTCACAGTACATTCATTTGTACTATCCAAAAGCTATACATAAGCCAATGCGATCAAAACGGTGATGGATAGCTAAACAGCACACAGGGGCATCAAGAACCAAAAGGACATAGCTATGTCACCGCCCATGAAATAGTCTTCATAAATGCAGATACTCCTCAGAAATTGAACTAAATGCATTGTTCACTTCATATGTGTGTAATGCGTGTAAGTATACATAAATACATACATACACGTGCATGTGTACCATAAGCATACGTGTGCACACATATGTGCACAGCAGGCACAGTGCATCTAGTCATATTTCTGAAGAGTACCACTACTCCGTATTTGACATGCGTGTATCGAGAGAGAGGGCTGAGCATATATGTGTACATACATGCCACAGTAAGATATGATCGAGGTTATAGGAAAGAGATGTGAAGGGGGTCGTGTATGGGGAGCGAGATTTTTCCGGGGCATTTTTAAAAAGGTTTCTCTGAGGAAGTGTCATTTGATGCGGACTATATTCTTCATGTCCCGGGAGGGAATTAAAGGGGCCATCCTTACTGAGAGACCCCCCGCCACAGAGTTCGGGAGAGAGACACAAAAAGCAGGGCACATTTGAAGAAACGGTGGAAATTCTTCATGACTTCAGGGAGAGTTGGAGGGGGAAAGACAAGGAATGAGCCTGGGGAAGAAAGCAGGACCCACCAGTGGAAGAAAGATGCTCTCTCTGAAGACTTAGCAAGTATCTGGGCTTTGAGTAAAAGATACAGAATTTTTTAAAAATCTTAAAAAAAAAAGATATGGAACGAAGAGACCAACTTACCGGGCTACTATCGGGACCAAAGGCAGCCTCTTGGGCATAACACCCTGGGCTGTGTCTACTGATTTCTTTAAAGAGATAAGACCATGACCTGGTAATATAAAATCTCTATAACCAACAAAGATGTAGCTGGAAGCAGTATTCTAATGTGGCTTTTAGTAAAAAAAAATAGTTGGAGGCAAAATGAATTTGAGGGGTAAGTTTTTTAAAGCCACAAGGAAGTGACAGCTGAAATTCCCGTGCAATTTAAAGTTTACATCTTACGTCACAAGCTCGTTCCATGGTTGTTACTTACAGTTAATAAGGTTTAACTTCACTTTCTTTTCTTACCTTATACAAAAGAAGTATAACCAGAGACTCCATGTCTGTTTATTAGTCACTTCTCCCTGCAAGGGGGAAAAAAAGTCATCTTCAGGCATTTGAAGCATTGATTCATCACGGGGCCTTTGCTAACCACACTGCTAAGCATCTGATGAGTTTTGCACCTATTAAGGGACTGACTCATATTACAAACCTACCTTAAAGCATTACAGAAGTCCTTAAACATCCCAGCCTGGATGCCTTCAGGGACTAGACGCATAAATAAATGAATGAAGCAGGCAGATTCCATACCCATCCTTCTACTAGCAAAGCAAACATAGGGAAGTTAATGCCAGGCCACCCCCAACTACTGTCCACACTGCTACAAGTGTGGCATGGCAAGTCCATCTTCAAAGCCCTTCAAAATCTTCCCATCACCCTTTGGACAATATTCAAGCTCAAGGGCATTCAAGGACCTCCATTAACTGGCCTTCATCTCTCTCATTCTTACTTCTCCCTGCTTCCCTCTTTCTACTCACGATGACAGCCTGGTCCTATTTCCTAAACTCATACCACTATGATTCTCACTCTCTGCTTTGGCCCATGCTGTTCGCTTTGTCACAGATACCCTTCACCTCACACACACCTCCATCCACTACCATCCGCTTGGATAACTCCTGCTTTTTTGTTATTTATTCTTTCTCCATAATGACTTTCTCCGAAGGCCATCATCCAGACTCCTTTTTCCATAGATGCCCATAGACTGACTTACCCCTTCCTATAGAAAACCTGCTTTAAAGAAAACAAACCTGACAAATTAATTGGCACTCAATTTTTAAAGATTTATTTATTTATTTATTTATTTATTTGAGAGAGAGAGTGTGCACAAGAGGTGGGGAGGGTCAGAGGGAGAGGGAGAAGCAGGCTCCCTGCTGAGCTGGGAGCCCAGTGCAGGGCTTGATCCCAGGACCCAGGGATCATGACCTGAGCTAAAGGCAGACACTTAACCAACCGAGCCACCCAGACACCCCTACACTCGGTTTTAAATGAATAATGACCCTTCCCAGATAAAGTTGCCAGACTTAGCAAATGTATAGGACAACCAGTTAATTTCAAAATTCAGATAAACGATAAATAAGAGTAAGTGTAGCCTGTGCAGAATTTGTATTTTACCTGGCATCCCGATCCCCTGGGTGTCTGGATTTTTTCAGGATTTCACAACTAGAAGGTGAGGTCCTGTGCTTATGCCACAGGAGGGAAAGAAATATCAAAGCATCACCTAAATGAAATGGATAAAGACCCAAAAGTGGGGCCTCATGTACCAGTCAGCAAATGGAGAGGAATTTGTCTGGCCAGAGCCTCCCACCACTCCTGAACCATGTTCTGCATGAAGGGTCTTGTCCTATGTCTGTTCAAATGCTCCTTCTGGAAATGGAGGAGCAAGATGGCAGAGGAGTAGGAGACCTAAATGTCATCTGATCCCAGTTGTTCAGCTAGATAGTTACCAAACCATTCTAAACACCTACAAACCCAACAGGAGATCGAAGAGAACAGCAGCAATTCTAGAAACAGAAAAGCCGATGAAGTTCTTGAACCTAGGTGAGGTTCAGTGGGGTGAGGTTCGGAGCCGACGGCTAAGAAAGAATTCTTAGTGCAAAAAGGTGGTTTATTAGAGCACGGTGATAGGACCCATGGGCAGATGTGAGGAATGGCTGATTATATACACAGGAGTTGGGTAGGTGAGGACAAAGGGGTGTTCAGAAGGGCTATTGGGGTAAAGAAGACTGTCAGGATATTGAAGACCTGGTTACTATCAAGCCAAGGCCGTTTTTCCTCTAATGAGGCACTAACATAAAGACAATTGGGGAGTCTCCTGGTGGAATGTCACATTCCTGCTATCAAGCATCCTTGTTAGTGAGATTTAGGTTTAGAAGAAATTTAAATTTATTTACTTTTCCTTCTACCTCAGCCTCCTTCAGTTCTGTTTATGGAGGGGAGGGTGACATTAGGGCTTGAGGAACTGAGTTATGTGCCTCTGGAAACTGGGTTATTGATAAGGTAACTTCTTTGTTGTAAATCTCAAGGACATTTGTAAACCAAGGGAGACTCCTGCCTTGCAGGATTGTGATCTCTGCAAGTTAACTATTTGTTTTTCTTTTAGGGCAGTCAGGGATGCCTGAGGAATGTCACTCATATTACCGAGGGGAGCGGGTGGAGAGGGGGTGCAAGGTGCCAGCTTTTGCTTTGTCCTCAGCCAGCCTCCTGCTCCCTCATCAAAGCAACCACTTTCTGGAAGGTCAGACGTGCGGAGAAGTGAATCCAAGGTGATGAGGGGAGGGAGCCTCTATCAGCCACTTACCAGCAGGTGAGAGAGCAGCGGGGCCAAAATCAGAACATTTAGAAGTCTGCTCCGTGGCCGGACGTCACTCCAGAGACTAAGCAGGGGGTGGAGCCCTCATAGGGACAGTGTGGTCTCAGGTCCCTCAGGATCACAGTAAGACCGGGGGTGTCTGAGTGCGGCAGAGCTCCCAGGTATCGGAGCAGGTAAGCCGGGGGGGAGAGATGGAGCCGAGTAGTGAGCTCTCAGCTCAGGGTTTCATAAACTGTGACTCGAGGCACAGTCGGGCCACTACTCTTCGAGCAGGGATCCCACAAGTGGCAGCTCCAGGGAGACTCCCCACTTCCTCTTACGGGAGGAGGGGCCCAGGAGCACACTGCAGGAAACTGCTGGGTTTGGAAACTCCACACGGGGCCACGCGACAGAGACAGAAACTCTCAGTCACAGGCTGAGGGAGCTCAGAGGGCGGCTGGAGACCAGGGAGACGGGAGGGACTGACGGCTTTTCTCCAAGGTCGCACTGAGGAGCGGGCCGAGCCCTCCGCTCCTCCGGGTGGAGACTAGGCGGCTGCCATCTTCATTCCCGTCCTCCAAAGCGGTACGGAAAGTGCTCAGGGAACAAAAGCTCTGAGCGCGAACCGAGCAGATTGCTTAGCCCGGCCCCTGGCAAGGGCGGCGCGGTTCCGCCTCCAGCAAAGACGTTTCAGAATCACGGCAATGGGCCCCTCCTACAGAAGATCAGCAAGAATGTCCACCCAAGACCAAGTTCACTGATCAATGAGCTATGGGAAAGCAGAACATAGAATTCATGGCTTTTTTTCCCATGATTCTTTAGTCTTTCAAAGTTAAATTTTTTAATTTTATTTTTTCTTACTCTATTTTTTAAATTTTTCCTCTTTCCTATTTTAACCTTTTTGAACTATTTTATCTTATCAATACCTTTTTAAAAATCTTTTTTAACTTTCATTGTTATACTCATATTCTGTCCCTTCATTGTATTTAATCTTATTTTTTGTATACATATAAGTTTTTCTTTTTTTAAATTTTGGGATACAGTTTCTTCTAACAAATCAAGATATACCCTTAGCGTATGGCTTTGTTCTAGTCTCCTGCTTGATCACATTCTCTCCTTTGTTTTTTTCTTTTTTCAAAAACTTCTTATCATATCAGTTCCTTTCTTAGAATCTTTTCTAAATTTTCATCTTTACAGTCATATTCTATCTCTTCATCATGTTTACCCTTATTTTTGCATATATATAAGTTCTTCTTTCTTTAAAATTTTGGGAGGCAGTTTCTTCTAACAGACCAAAATACAACCAAAATCATGTATGTGGCTCTGTTCTATTTACCAGTGTATGTATGTGTACACACACACACACACACATGCATATATATCTTTTTTCCTCCTGTCATCTCCCCCCAGTTTTGGGTCTCTTCTGATGTGGTTAGTGTATATTTTTCTAGAGTTGTTGCTACCATTTTAGTATTTTGTTCTCTCATTCATCTAGTCTTATCTGGATAAAATGACAAGGTGGAAAAACTCACCTCAAATAAAAGAACAAGAGGCAGTACTGACAACTAGGGACCTAATCAATATGGACAGTAGTAAGATATCTGAACTAGAGTTCAGAATGATGATCATCAAGATGCTATCTGGGCTTGATAAAAGCACAGAAGATACTAGAGAATCCCTTTCTGGAGAAATAAAATCCCTTTCTGGAAAAATAAAAGAACTAAAATCTAACCAAGTTGAAATTAAAAAAGCTATTAATGAGGTACAATAAAAAATGGAAGCTCTTACTGCTAGGATAAATGAGGCAGAAAAGAGAATTAGTGATATAGAAGACCAAATGATGGAGACTAAAGAAGCTGAGCAAAAGAGAGACAAACAACTACTGGGTCACAAGAGGAGAATTCAAGAGATAAGTGATACCATAAGATGAAATAATATTAGAATAACTGGGGTCCCAGAAGAAGAAGAAAGAGAGAGAAGGGAAGAAGATATATTGGACCAAATTATAGCAGAGAATTTCCCTAATTTGGGGAAGGAAACAGGCATCCAAATCCAGGAGACACAGAGAACCCCCCTCAAAAATCAATAAAAATAGGTCAGCATCCCATCATCTAAAAGTAAAACTTACAAGTCTCAGAGACAAAAAGAAAACCCTGAAAACAGCTCAGAACAAGATGTCTGTAACCTACAACAGAAGAAATATTAAATTGGCAGCAGACCTACCCACAGAGACCTGGCAGGCCGGAAAGGCCTGGCATGATACAGTCAGAGCACTAAACGAGAAAAAGACTGTATCGAACTAGGCTGTCATTGAAAATATAAGGAATGATAGAAAGCTTTCAGGACAAACAAAAACTAAAAGAATTTGCCGACACCAAACCAGCCCTAGAGGAAACATTGAAAAATGTCCTCTAAGCAAAGAGAGAGCCTAAAAGTAACAGACCAGAAAGGAACAGAGACAATATAGAGTAACAGTCACCTTACAGGCAAGACAATGGCACTAAATTCATATCTTTCAATAGTTACCCTGAATGTAAATGGGCTAAATGCCGCAATCAAAAGACAGAGGGTATCAGAATGGATTAAAAAAAAAACAAGACCCATCGATATGCTGTCTGCAAGAGACTCATTTTAGACCCAAAGATGCTTCCAGATTTAAAGTGAGGGGGTGGAAATCCATTTACCATGCTAATGGACATCAAAAGAAAGCTGGCGTGGCAATCCTTATATCAGGCAAATTAGATTTTAAGCCAAAGACTGTAATAAGAGACAAGCAAAGACACTATATCATATCTAAAGGGTCTGTCCAACAAGAAGATCTAACAATTTTAAATATCTATGTCCCTAACATGGGAGCAGCCAATTATATAAACCAATTAATAACAATATCAAAGAAATACTTCGACAATAATACAATAATGATAGGGGACTTTAACACTCCCCTCACTGAAATGGACAGATCATCTAAGCAAAAGGTCAACAAGGAAATAAAGGCTTTAAATGACACACTGGACCAGATGGACTTCACAGATCTATTTAGAACATTCCATCCCAAAGCAACAGAATATACATTTTTTTCTAGTGCACGTGGAACATTCTCCAGAATAGATCACATCCTGAGTCACAAATCAGGTCTGAACTGGTACCAAAAGATTGGGATCATTCCCTGCATATTTTCAGAGCATCCTGCTAAAGAATGAATGGGTCAACCAGGAAATTAAAGAATTAAAAGAAGGAGGGCTTTGAATCCAAGCCACCTAAGTCCACTTTTAATCGCTGCACCAAACTGCAAGTCCTAAACTCCATTGTGGCAGATGTGGGAGGAAATTGTGGGACACTGATCAAGATAATTAATTCGATGAGAATTTTTGTATCAGTTGAACTAGTTTTTCATGTTTCTACCCATCACCTTCTAGCACAGAGACTGGGACCAGCAGTATTTGCTCCAAGATTAATTCTAACTGACAGAACAAACTTCAAAATCTTTAGAAGAGTATGTTTATTCTCATAGTCCACCATATCCCAGCATTTTTCCTAGTCTTAATTCCCAAATAAATTTTTGCCATTTCCTCAAACATGTTTTTTCTGAGTCCCCAGCTCTTCCGTTTGAAAAATGTAGTCTGACAATTTTTGTCTTTAGTTGGAATACTTTATCACTTTCATTTAACCTCTCAGTCCACCATTTTTCCATTTATATTCAATCTGTCTCACCTGTTCTACTTTTCCTTTTCTCCTCTTATACTTACTCTTGAATTAATGAAATATATCCTTCCTTTTCCATTAACTCGTTTGTTGTCTTTTACTATTCTGTTAGGAGTTTCCTTAGGGACCACATTATGCATCTTTGGCTTCTTAAAGTCAATGAAAGTTCTATATAACACTGAATTTATTTACTACCCTAATACCTTTTTTAGTGCTTTTGGCATATACCTCATTAGACATTTTGGTTGTTGCTTCATGCCATCAATATTCTTACACACATTTTTACCTATTCATTCTTCAGTATTTCTATGCTTCCATCTGGGATCATTTCATTTGGCCAGAGAACTTTGATTTTCCTTCAGTGTGGGTCTGCTGGTAACTATCTTAGTTTTTTCCTTTTTTGTTTTTTTTCATGAGTTAGTGATTCCAATACCATGCTGTTTTGATTACTATAGCTGTGTAGTAGGTTTTTAAATCAGGACACTTAAGTCCTCCAGTTTTATTCTTTTTCAAGATCATTTGACTATTCAGGGTCCCTTGAAGATTCCATACAAATTTTAGTATGGGTTTTTCTATTTCTCCAAAAAATGTTTATTGGGATTTTGGTAGGAATGGCAATGAATCTGCATATTGCACCCAATCCATGAACATGGGATGTGTTTTCATTTATTTATGTCCTCTTTAATTTCTTTTAGCAATGTTTTATAATTTCCATTGTACAAGTTTTTCATCTCCTTGGTTGATTTATAGTTATTTTATTCTTTTTGATGCTATTATAAATGAAATTGCTTTTGTCATTCCTTTTGTCATTTCCTTGGCTCACTGCTTGTATACAGAAAAGCAACTGATTTATGTGTGTTGACTTTTTATCCTACAATTTGCTGAATTCATTTATCAATTCTAACAATTTCTTTGTGGACTTCTTAGGACTTTTTTTTAATATGTAAGATCATATCATCTACAAATAAAAATAATTCTACTTCTTAACTATTCATATGTCTTTTATTTCCTTTTCTTAAGTAATTGCCATGGTTAGAACTTCCAGTACTATGTTATACAGAAGTGGTGAAAACAGGCATCCTTGCCTTGTTCCAGATCTTAGAGGGAAAACTTTCAGTCTTCCACAGTTGAGTATTATGTTTGCTCTAGGATTTTCATAAACAGTTTTGACATGTGGTGATAGTTTCCTTTTACTCCTATCTTTTTTAGTGTTTTTGTCATGAAAGTGTGTTGAATTTTGTCAAATATTTTTTCTGCATCTACTGAGATAATCATGTTTTCTCTCCTTTGTTTTTTGATGTGGTCTGTTATACTGATCAATTTGAACATGCTATACCATACTTGCATTTTGGGAATAAATCCTACTTGATCATAGAGTATAATCCTTTTAATATGCTTCTGAATTATTTGCTAGTATTTTATTGAGGATTTTTGCATCAATGTTCATAAAGGATACTGATCTGTAGTTTTCTTTTTTTGTAGTGTCTTTGGCTTTGGTATTTGAGGTAATTCTGACCTCATAGAATAAGTTATGAAATGTTCCCACCTCTTCAATTTTTTAAGAAAGTTGGAGAAGGATTGGATTGTTCTTTAAATGTTTGGTAGAATTCACCAGTGAAGCCATCAAGTCCTAGGCTTTTCTTTTTCTTTTCTGATGTCCATTTTTCTATTTTTTTGTGATTTACACTTGGTAGCTTTTTTGTTTGTAGGAATGTGTCCATTTCATCTAGGTTATCCAATTTTTTCTCACACAATTGTTCATATCACTATCTTACAAATTTTTCTTATTTCTGTAGAATACATAATAATCCCTCATTTCATTTCTGATTTTAGTAATCTGAGTATTCTCTCTTCTTGTCTTTCTTTTTCTTTCTTAGTCCACTTAGATAAATGTTTGTCAATTTTGTTGATCTTCTCAAAGAACCAACTTTTGGTTTCATTGATTTTCATTACTGTTTTTATTCTCTTATTTCATATATATTTCATTTATCTCTGCTCTAATCTTTATTATTTCCTTCCTTCTGCTGGCTTTGGGTTTAGATTGTTCTTCTCTTTTCTACTTCCTTAAGTTATAAAGTTAGGTTGTTGATTTGAGATCTTTCTCATTTTTTAATGTAAGCATCTATAGCTATAAATTCCCCCCTTAGCACCATTTTTGCTGTGTCCCATAAGTTCTGGTATGTTGTTTTATTTTCATTTGTCTCTAAGTATTTTCTAATTTCTCTTGTAGTTTCTTCTTTGGGCCACTGGTTGTTTAAAATGTGTTGATTTCCATAATTTTGTGAATTTTCCAGTTTTATTTACGTTATTTCTAAATTCATCCCATTGTGTAACCACCCATTGTGTAACCACAACTTCTCTAACGAGAAGATATTTTGTATCACATTTATCTTCTTAAATCTGTTGAGACTTAATGTGTGCCTAACATATACTCTATTCTGGAGAATGTCCCATGTAGACTTGGGAAGAGCACTTATGCTCTTTTCATTGGATGGAGTGTTTTGTACATGTCTGTTCAGTCTAGGTGGCTTGCTGTGTTGTTTAAGAAACATGGTCTTAAGAAGAAATTTTCTGTTGAAATAAATAATAGAAAAGTTAAAATTAAAGGAGGAAGAGATATGACGGTTGATATATACATTGTTCTTATGAGAGTAGCCATAATTGAGGGATCTTGGACTCTTCCAGGAATGGCTCAGGGAAGTGACTTCAGGGCCCAAACCAGGTAGATGGTGAAGTAATGGATCTTTCTTTCTTTCTTTCTTTTAAAGCTCCTTAATTCTGTGGTCATTGATCATCTTTGTTGTGTCTTTTACTCTTGTCATGGAGTTGCTCTATTTGACAGAGAAAGACTTTTATCAGGATCCAATTCAATTGGGGAAATTTCAGAAAAATAATGATTCCTGAATACCCTATTTAAAACTATCAAACTAGGGGCACCTGGGTGGCTCAGAGGGTTAAAGCCTCTGCCTTTGGCTCAGGTCATGATCTCAGGGTCCTGAGATTGAGCCCCACATGGAGCCCTGCATCGAGCTGCATCAGACTCTCTGCTCAGCGGGGACACTGCTTCCCCCTCCCCCTCTGCCTGCCTCTCTGCCTACTTGTGATCTCTCTGTCTGTCAAAAAATAAAATCTTTTTAAAAAATTATCAAACTATCCTCCACTCCTGCATCTCAGACCTCACTTTTCTGTTTTATTTTCCTCCTGAACCCTTATCACCAGCTACTCTACTTGTTTATTCTGTTTTATTAACTGCTTACCTGACTCCCTTCACTAAAAGGCAAGCTCCGTGAGGGTAGGGAGTATTCTTTCTTCTGTTCATTTCTGTGTCTGTAGCTTTTAGAAAATGTTTGATACCTAAGACATGTTCGATAAATATTTGTTGAATGAATTTATGTTTAAAAAAATCTCAGAGTTCTTAGATCTACTGGTCTTGTTGAAGAACAAAATCCGTTATCGCTCGTTTAGACAATATCCAAGGTACATGAAGGTTTTCCATCTCCTTGATTTAGGCTTCTTAATTATTGTTAGTGTTAATAACTGAGATTATAAGCAAAAGGAAATTATCCAAAATAGAAGTTTTAATTATGAAAAATAAGTCATTTCTATATCAAGTCAAAAAGAGGTCAATGGACAGGAAGATCTTGGTAGTCCCAGAGGTTCATCTCAACCAGTACACACACAAGCAGAAACACCAAGATGAGATATAGGTCTGGGCAGGGTAAGCAATCTAGGAACATTGATGGTGGCATGCACAGATCTAGATGTTGTCAAGTTTAAGACAGCCAGGCCAGAGCAGGAATGTAAATTCTAGGAGACCAGGAACATAATCTGTTTCATTCATCTGGGTACAATCATATGCCAAAAATGGTGCCTAACTCAGAGTAATGAATATTTTTTAGACAGATAACTAACCCATCAACTAAATAGAATTCACGAACCTTTAAAGTGTTGCTATAGATATAAAGATATTGATATACTAGAAAGTGAAAAATCAAATTGAGAATAACAGAGTGTCATTCCATTTTTGTTCAGGTGTGTGTATGTGTAGACAGACAAATGTCTGGAAAGATATACCAAAATATCCATGTTGGTTATAATTATCTCTGTATGGTGGAGTTAGGGATAATTTTAACTTCTTTGTATATTTATTCACATTTGCAGGTTGGTTGATGAACATTGGTCACCTCCATTATAAAAAGGTTTTTTATACTATGCATATGATATGTGTAAGTGTGTGATGGTGTCACTGTAAAGATCATTACCCTGGACCTCAGAACATAAGCCTCTTGCTTAATCTCAGAACTCCTAAGGAAGGCTAGAGAGTTTTATTTTGCAAAACGCTGAAGGAGCAGGAAGCTCCTCCCATTTTTCAGGGCCTCCCCAAACATTTAAAGCACTCTGACTGCCTCTGAGCCCACACCCAACAGAGAAAACTATCCTGTAGAAGGGACAGCACCAAAAGGCAAAAGAAAGGTAAGGAAAAGCTCAGCACTCCAAAGACTGTAATGAGATTTGGCTCCTATGGCTGTTATTAAATGGTTTGGCATTATTAAATGGGTTCGTTTTAAATACCAAACCAAGACATCATAAACAAAGTCTGCAGCAAATTGTGACCTGACTAGTGAGGTGATTTATTAAGTTATTGCTACTTATTATACTTACTGCTACAGTTTCAAGCTAATTACTGACCACACCATGAGGGCTTTCTTAACCTCTTGTCCCAGCAAAGCAATACTGATTGATCCACTCCTTAACAGAAGACCATGGCGAAGAAGGTGGCCGTGATTGGAGCTGGGGTGAGTGGCCTGGTCTCTCTGAAGTGCTGTGTGGACGAGGGACTGGAGCCCACTTGCTTTGAGCGGACTGAAGATATTGGAGGGCTGTGGAGGTTCAAAGTAAGTAAAATCTTCCTGTTTCCTGAACAGACTGTGCTTACAGATGGGCCTTATTGGGGATTATCTAAGCAACTTTGATCAGACTTATTTCATCCAGCCACACAGGAACTACAGAAATGGGCTATCATCTCTCCCAGATCATTACCATCCTGACCCAGCCAGGCATGCAAAGGACCTTTCCTTACGGAAACTGCAACTATCTTGCAGCCCACATTCTGTGATTCTCAAAGCCACACACTGATATTGGGGAACATACCATGAAGCAGGAGTGACAGGGACTCTTTTCAAGATGCCACAGTATTCCAATCACTGAGCAGATGGTTTTTCAGAGAGTGTGCTCTTATTACTACATCTGACAAACAAACATTGTTTGCTTAGCTTTATTGATGACACTCTAGGGTGACTGCCAGGAAACTCTTTAAAGATATTATCGGGGTGCCTTAGGGGCACAGTCGATTAAGCGTCCAACTCTGTTTCAGCTCAGGTTTTTGATCTCAGGGTCATGAGATGAGCCTCGTTGTCGGGCTCCACAGGAAGCATGGGGTCTGCCTGAGCTTCCCACTCCTTCTGCCCCTCCTGCGTGTGCACGCTCTCTCTCTCTCTCTCAGATAAATAAATAAATCATTAAGAAAAATAAAGTAAAATAAAAAGATATTATTAAATATATTCATTCAATTCATTCTATTAGCCAAACCTAAAAATTGATAATGCTGTCCATCCGATTTTACATAAAAATGAGAAAGATGTATAGATAGACAGCTGCATAGATTCATAGTTTTTCTTTCCTACGGTGTTTTGAGTTTAAGGACTAGCCTGCCACCTTCTAAGTGTGAGATCTTGGGCAAACTGATTTACAAGCCTGTGTCAGTTTTCTAAGTGTAACTGGGATAGTAACAGAACAGTGTAATTATTTCACAGTGCTGTTTTGAAGATTAAGGGAGATCAGTCATGTAAAACACTTAGAGTGCAATAAATGTTAGTTACAATAACTATTTATATTTTATAGACTAAGCAAACAGAAACTGAGGGAAGTTAAGTAACTTGATCGTGGTTACACAGCTTAGAAGAACTGGTATTCAAGCTCAGGTGTCTATGACTTCTAAACAGCTAACCCTCTCCTTACAACATGCCCAACTTGCATTTTTGCTCAAAAAGTTTAAAGAAAAGTTCCAGCTCAGCGCTCCAGAGCAATAACTTAGGAGTGTATATCAGGTACATCTAAGTGAAGGATCAATCAGGTGAGAACACTAGACCAAAGCCAAAGGTTTAGGGGTGCCTGGATGGCTCGGTCATTACGTGTCTGCTTTGGCTCAGATCATGATCCCAGCATCCTGGGGCTCCACATCGGGTGCCCTGCTCAGCAGGGAGCCTACTTCTCCCTCTCCAGCTCCCCTGTGCTTGTGTTCCCTCTCTCGCTATCTCTGTCATAAGTAAATAAAATCTTAAAAGAAAAAGAAGAAGAAGCAAAAGGTTTAATATGCTAAAAGCAGACTCTGGTATCAGCAGACACCATCCAAAGGGCTCTGCCTAGAAGCCAACCAGTTAGGGGGAAGGCATGACATCTAGCACATGGGCTTTTTGCCAGTCTGAACTGAATTTTATGCCAAAACAGATTTTTTTAACCTCACGTTTCTCAAATGTATATGACTATAATACACACCCATAGAGTTTTTTAAAGATACTTAACACCAAATAGATTAATTAAATAAATAAAGATACTTAACACCAGACCGGACTTGCTGAATCAAAATCTTTTGAGGAGAGGAGCCTATTTTTAACAGGAGACCCAAAATCCTAGGATGAGACAAGTTTGGCAAACAAATTGCACAAATACTGAATAAAAAAATCTATTCATTCAACTATGCAAACACAATCAGAGCTAGGGATGGAGATGTTGGTCCTTATACAGGACATGGAACTTGCAGAGAGGAGACTGGAAAAACAGCTTGAATCACATTCCTCACACACTAACAACTGCTCATTAGAAACATTCTAGCTTTTCCTGAGAGGGTGATATGATAAGGTGGTTATTCCTGTCTTAACTGAAGATGTATTTTTTATTGTTGTTCACTCTAGGTTCACATACAGATTCCATTGGCATTTTTTTCACCCAGGTAGATTTTTTTAACCTAAGGAAGAAATATGAAGTTATAACAAATTAATATTTAATAATAAATTTGTCACTGTTTTAGTACCTGATTTGGGACTTAATATCAAAAAGCCAAATGTCCCTTTCTTTATTATCATCAATTTGGCAACAGAACAGGTGAGAGCTATTTTGAATGATCTGTCAAATATATGACTTGATGAATTCCAGGAAGATTTCTTTCTGCCCCAAAATATTTTTCCTCCTATCCTATTCCCAGTTCCCAGTGTCTAATGTTTCAGAATTAAAGATATTTCCTACGGGTTAGAAAAGGAAAGTTAGATTACAGTGTGAATTAATTAAATTTTATTAGATATAAAATGCTTAAGTATATAATTTCCTGAAACCTGTAACAATATCACATTTTGAACCTCCCAAAACTATATCTAATTTAAAAAAAACAAACAATTTTCTCAGCTCAGACAAGACAAGTAATCTCCCAGCAGTGTGAAACATACAGGATGCAAGATTTCACAGGTGGCCAGGGGAGCCATGTGTAGGTCTTGATTACCAGCAGCCTGGGTTGCCAAAGGGAGAAGGAATGATAAAGGATGCTGGGAGCCACCATGCCCAGTCCCCTGGGGAAACTTTGCCTCTTCACTCCTCTACCATCCAGAATCAGTTCTGAAAATAAGTAAATATTCTATATTTACACACAATCCTTCTAAGGTCACGTAACATATTTAGCGCTGACGTCAGTTAAAACAACATTTAAGGAGACTTGCCCCGTGCCCAACTCTGACTGCTGAATTCTTCCAAAAGGTTCTCCAGCGGCCCCTTGTGGCAGTTTTGGAACATGGGGAGAGTGGGTAATTAACATATTTTTAGCATTTTTCCAGCAATGAAAAAGTACTTGCCATACATCCTCATTTTTCTTTCCACAATACCCCTAAAAAGTAGTGTTGGGCAGCAAGAATTCCAGCCCCCTCAAAAGTCCTTCCAGCTGGACTAAGTCAAATTGACATAAGACAAATTAGCAGGAAAAAATCACATTTGATAGGCATCACACACACAGAGAACCCACATTAACATGTAAATTCCAGAGACAGGCAAAATGAGGAATGGATGTCATTCTGAACTAAAGAGAAGGGGGTGTGGTTCTGGGACTTCAGAGGAAAGAAATACACTTCACAGGACCATAAGAACAGTAGATGCTTGGCAGTAAGATACTTGTCCTACAGTTCAAATGGGTCACTCGGATAAAATTTATCTCTGCTAATAACACTTATTCTGGGAAATACCCCAATTTAGATTCTTCTGTGTGGTTAAGGGAGTACAAAATTTCTCTTGACCCATAGGGTCTCAAGTGCTTTCAGATCAAAATAATCTACATGCCCAAGTGGCATGTTTGGGGGGCGGGGAGGGGGGGAGCTGTCCTGAAACCTTTCAGGTTTCAGTATGTATAATG